CTCATCCAGAATTTGCCGCTCAGCCGCATAATGCACCGTGCGCGACACCCCTGCGATTGTCTTGACCGTGCCCCAGTTGAGGGTTTTCGAGTTGGCGCTCTAGCTCTTCAATTTACGGTTGCAGACGGCTCCTTTCACTGATGTGATCCGTGTCGAAGCGTCTGATGCTGATGAGGGTATCAATGGACAGATCTACTACTCGTTAGTGAATCGCTCGACAGATTTCACTGTTGATCCCATATCAGGTAAATTCTAAGTTTCTAAGTTTTGAGAATAAGTTTCAGGACGCTGTCAACCATAGAACCTACCCCTCCGTCCTTCTCTTCCACCCTTCAAAGATTCAGGATGACGCAATCGTGACCGACTGTGCTCTACCGCTAATTGTTGGACAGCTGCAATTAATCGAATCGTAATCACAACATAGCGCTTCTATGCGGTTACAGTTTCAGAGACTGGAATCAGAGCACTTAGTGCGCTGGGACATCTTAAAACGGGGGGGGGTCGTATTTAGCCGCTGAATATTTTTGATAGATAATTTCTCTTAGTTTCCGCATCGTTTGGAAACGTCTATTACTGACTGTTGGTGGCTTTCTCGTTTCACATGAGGTTACCGTGACCCTTTCAGCTGACTCCGGCAAAGTATAGAACTGCTAATTTCGATGGCTGAATTTAGTCGTTATTTGATGGCGACCTCCACTTCCCCCCCCCCCCCCCCACGTCAGCTGGAGGCCAGATTTTCGGGAACAACAGGAGATTTCGGAACAAAAAATTTTTGTAGGAGCTCACGACAAAGCCGTCAGTACATCTGATTACGGGAAGCCCCGAGGCTCAAGACAGCGAATTAGACAAATGCTGTTATCGTCAGCCGTACTCTCGCTGTTGCTTCCAAATTACCGGCCTCTTTTTGACGACATGTGGCCTTCACCAAGAAATCATAGTGGTCCTAAAAACTCGTTCATCTCAGATTAGTGCTGACTTTGCGTCGAATAAATCGCAAATCTTTCTTTACGACGACTTTTCTTAGGAAACAATTTCGTAATGCAAACACCAACAGAACTGAGGGAGAAGATATTAAAGCCTGCGGAAACCGGTTCAAAGAGGCTTGAACCAACTCTTTTCTTACAGAGCTTTTTTGGAAGCTGAACGAAAAAGTTTAAGTCCTAGTAAAGCGCTAAATGGCCCATTTCTTGAAATTTCCCGAAAACTGGCTGCAGCTGTCGCCTAACCACTGGACTCGGGCAAAAGTGAACTCCAAAAGAATTGAGATAAAGAGATCTACAGAGTATACACTGAGAACGTGGAAGGCACCTCATATCCGCCGTACGATAGTTGTAAGCCGCTTCGCGCTGGGGAGGGGGCATTTATTCTTTGAACTATGTCGCGTCGTCGTGAACTCGTCGTAGAACTACAACGACGTCTAGAAGATGAGGATGTCTGCCTACAACACGTCCTGCCGTTCGGAATTTTTTCGAAATTTAAAAGTTCTTCTTCTAGTACGACCCCTCTCCCTATCCCGTGGAAAGGGGGAGGGGACAAATAATCGAAAAATAAATCAAGAACTGGAAACATTTTTTCCAAAGGTAAACATAGGCTCTCCTCCCTCTAGCAATCAAACACTTTCATCACTCGGGATCCCAAGATACGACTGCTCCTGTATCTGATTTCGCTGCGGAGGCTTCGGGGTGGGTGAACCACCTTAACAGGATGAAACGAGGATCGCGCTGCAGTAATCTCAGTTTTACAAAAGGAGCAAGTTAAATCCCCCCCCCCCCCTCCCAGGCAATGGTTTTATTCATTTATTTGTTTGTCGATGTCGCTGTTATTCGAATGTCCAATCCTTGGACTTCTTAGAATCCATTTGGGACTCGCAACATCTCAAAGCAAAGCCCAGCTGTCAGTCATACGAGGGACATGAAGCGGACCAAAAAAAACCATGAGAGATTATAGAAAACCAAAAAGAGGACACAACAGAACAGAAAGTATCAATTTGAGTAAAACTGTCACAATCTCATCTGTGATACAAAATAAAGAAATGGACAAAGAGTAAAAGGCAAAGAAAGAAAAAAAGGACCAAACAAACTAAAGATCACACCTTTAGCTCTCTATTCAACGGCGTATCCATTCGGTCTTTTTGTCGTATTCGCAAAAATACAAAATCTCCCACTTGGCGGGAATGTGCTTTAAAGTGATGCTGTCGATCTCCCTGTAACATAAATTACTACTTACACAACTAGTTGAGCATCTCTAATTAGGAGGGAAAATGGCGGCCGCGTTCATACTTCGCGACTCGAGCGATTCAGTCGCTCGACTTGGAGTTCAGCGATCCGCGCTCCGTCGCTAATCACTGGACCGCTGCAAAGATCAAATGAGGTAATGTTCTGGATGCAATTGAACTCGCAGGTAGAACGGTCAAACGACCAGCATTGGAGTGAAGTCGGCGGCGAGCGACTGAATCGCTCAAGTCACGAAGTATGAACGCGGCTCTAGTGAGAATTATGCGGTAAAGAAAATACCCCTTGAAGGGGAGAGGGGTGGAGAGGTACCAGCAGCGCCTCCCCATCACTTTTCCTGACCAATGCTTAGGCCTAGAGCGCAGACGACCACAGTAGCCGA